CTTTCACATGGGTCGTACTAATCATGGACCAAAGTCGAAACGCAATTTAGGCCGTAAACAGGCCAAAATTCAGAACCGTCTATTTATGGGCTCAGGCCATAGTGGGCCGTTAACAAGCCGTAAGACAACACATGCTTAATTCTATCGACGGGCATAACAGGTCGTTAATGGGCCATAATACATGATGAGATGAATAAGGCCCAAGGATTAATGGGCCACAGACGGGGCGACTGTAACCACGGGTTGAATTTGGCCCATTAGCGAAACATGCCAGTAATGGACCATAAGTAATCAAGGGCCGGAAATGAGCCCAAGAATATATAGGCCTTAGAAGGCTGAAAGATAACACGGGCTAGAAATGGCCCAACTGAATCATGGGCCATTAATGGGTATAAAGCAATTTACTGTTTATTATGGGCTAGAGTCACCATGGGCCGTTAAAGGGCCCAGAGATACAAAAGGCCTAATATGGGCTGAAACACGTCATGGGCCATGCATGGGCTGAAGGTGACAACGGGCTGAAATTATATTGGACGGCCCTTATGACGCTATTGGGCCCAATTCGAAAAGGCCATAACGGGTCATGAGTTAACGGGTCGTTTGAGCTATATGCGAATAGGCCGTTAACAGGCTTTCCATGGGCCGGCTCGTTAACTTTTGACCATGTCAAACGGGCCGGCCTTTTTAACCTGAATGGGCCACTGTTGGGTCATGCCACGTGTCGACGTATCATAAGTGCCTCATGTCCATTGCACGGTTGACATCTATCCCAACACGGAGCTGGCACGTGGTTCCTTGGGCCAATGAGAATTTTACATGTGGAAAATTGTCATTGGTCATGGCTGTTAACGGGTGATCAGATCCAAAACCGGACCCGACAGCTTAACGACGACCCGTTATGATGGATGCCACGTGTCTGTTAACCTTGACGAAAACACTTCCATGACTCCCATTTATCGTCATGGAAGTGGACACTTCCATGATGATAATTTGAGTATTCTCATGGAACACTTCTACGACAGCACAAGTATAACTATCTTGATTCTGTCATAAAATCATCATGGATGTACATGCATAACAGAAATCGTGACCTACTATGACAAACATGTATCATCATGGAAGTGTTTTTTGTGTAGTGCATCAATGGCGCACATGTCGACACCGTACACGGCCACACGTCAAGCCAGCGACAGTGCACATGTACATACCTTATGCAGCCACATGTCAAGCCAACGACATCCACGTGTCATCTTATGATTGGTCCACGTGCCATCCTATGATTGGCCCATATCTCGTCTTATGGTTGGCCTATTTGTGGTGCTGATGGTCCAGATGTCAAGTAGCTGACAACACACATGTCGAGCTACTATTGGTACATGTGTCAACATCTCGAGGTGCCTCGTGGAAGCAGCCCATCATCCGACGTTTCACATGGTGTCACGCTAAGCGGCAAAGTTGACGTCACCCGACAATCCTGAAAGGGCAATGATTGGCCTAACACATGTGTCAACACTGTGCCGACACGGTGGCAGCTAGTAGTGATGTTTTTTATCTTCATGGCTAATCGGGCCGGGTAGGCCTCGGGTCCAGGCAGGCAGTCGAAACTCGTCATGGATCCATGTCGGTCTTGTAAAAACATCGCACTTCCAATCTACGACGGGAGATTGGCAACGGTCCTCAAGACCGTCGCTATGAAATATGACTTCTACCACGGGCCAAAGCAGTAGCAAACCGGACGTGTTGTAGTGAAGAAACAAGACTCCAGTTTATTAAATTCAATAGGTAAAGTCTTACATGAAGCAAGCGTGTTGTAGTGAAGAAAGAAGACTCCAATTTATTAAATTCAATAGGTAAATTCTTTACGTGAAGCAATTATTTCATGAAGCATTGGGAAATAATTTAAAAAACGCATGGCTTACAACATTTACATGCACCATTAAAAGGCCCAACTTTACAAAAGCCAGTATGAAAACCCTCTTCCCCACATGTTTCTTGGCATTCGTCGTCCTGCGAACATGCACCTTTGAACTTGCCACTTGGTCCTTCACACAAGTCCTCCGGACAATGTTTATGGCCTTCTGAATTTGAAAACTCATACATCAACATTAAAAAAATGGAAATAAGGCATGCGCTCAAAAAATCTAAAAATGCAAACAACAACAATTTGACTATTTTGATGGAAGTAATTTCAGGTAGAGCAGATTAATAGAATTTACCCGCAGCCATCACGAGCAGCAGTAGCATCGCCATGATGATGAGCGGGCGCAACTTTTGTGGCGACTCCATTCTCACAATAGATGTCAGTTTTTGTGAGCACTCTCCTACTCGTTACTTTGAGATCGAGAATGATGGCACCTGATAATTCTTATATACACATAGAGTAAACGCCATCGACGGAACAAGCGCCATGTGCCGGAGGACAAATGGATCTAGATCCTATATATATACATATTGGCTAATTTTGGCGCCTACAAGTAACCCCTATATATGTAACTACCTAAAATTAGTTTTGAATAACCACCCGGCGAGGGTGGTCAGCAATCTCTCATTCTATTCTCAAAAAAAGAAAGTTTTGAAATGCACCTCAAGTGCTATGTGACTTCCATAAAAAAAATACTCCCTCCGATCCTGAAAAAGTGTCGCAGCGCTTAATACAATGTTAATTTACAATTTAGCCCTTCGCGCAGCTCACATCTCCCCAGATCTCTAGCTCGCCCAGCACCATGCTTATCTGCATCTCGCCCGGATCCCCAGGCACGTCAACTGTTGGCGGGACGAGGAGCGTCTTCTCCGAGCAGCAACCTCCGCACCAGCTCCTCCTCCGGCCTCCGCGCCTCGGGCTAGCTACTCCTCAGGCCAGCTCCTTTTCCTCATGTGCCTATGCGCCTTCGTGCCATTGATGGATGCATCTTCAAGTGCAGCTTCATCTTTGGCCTCCGGATCCTCCTCCGCCTCCGGATCGTCAAGTGCAGCGCATTCTTCCTCCTCAGCCTCCTGCACAAGATACCGCAGAATTTAAACAAACAGTGCTCTGTAGGAATACAAGACTTGAAGAAACTGGAGGAACAGTGAACTGTATGAATACTTGATGAAACTGCTAAAACAGTGCTCTGTATGTGAATACTTGATGAAACTGATGAAACAGTGCTCTGTATGAATACAAGACTAGATGGAACTAAATCATCAACTGGCTGTCAGTTTCAAACTGAACAAAATAAATTCATCATCCACTGCACCATGTTATGCTGCACCATCTACTGCATGAAGAAGATTCAACTGGAGTAGTTGGCTGTCAGTTTCAAACTGAACACTACTCCATGGCGTAGTTGTAAGTATTGCACGTATGCAGTGGCAGTGCCCACATCGATTTGCATCCATCAGTTCATCCAAACATGCATGCTCTGTCCGACCATTTTTCGGTGAAAAGACTGAAATTTTGGCAAGATGGACCTCGCAGCAGCAGCAGATTGGGCAACATCCCCTGGTAGACGTGCAGTTCTTCCTCCCCGGCGCCGTCGTTGTCGCCTTGTCCAGCGGAAAGAGGCACGATCACGGTCGCCGGGGATCTGGACCGGGCGCTCGGGGAACTTGGCCGAGCAGGATCCCGTGGCAACCGGCGGCAGGCATGTCCTCCTGCCTGAGGACGTCCTGGTGGCCTGTCCTCTGCGCTGCCTCCTCGCGTCCGGCCTCGCGGACACCGGATCCGGTGCGTCCGGACTCGCAGCCGATGAAAGGTGGAGGGGAGGGAGGCGGCGGAGCAGAGAGAGGGAGCGCAGAGCAGGTGGAGTGCGGGTGGGCTGTTTTGCAAAATTACAACTTTTTTTTTTCATATCGGAATATAAAGTTGAGACACTTATTTTGGTACGGATTAAATATGTTTGTGCATGCTTTATTTTAAATAGGTTTGTGCATGTTTGTAGATGTGAATAGCATTCTTCATATTGGAAACAATAAAAAAGCCTTAACGACGAACATATCATGGTAGAGAAATAAGAATAACAATCTCGTGGTGATTTTACAACTGCCCCCTTTCCTCTCCTCCACGCCGCTCGCTAGGGGCAGCTCGGGTGGAAACCCTAACCACCGCCACCGCTGCCCCCTCTCCCTCATTCCCCCTTGTTGTCGTTGGCTCACGTCAGCGAGCAAAGCCCGTTGGCGGCCGGCGGCGGCGGGATCTAGCTCTCGCGCCCTCGCGTTGGTCTAGGGCTTGCCCCTCGGTGGTGCAGGCGGTGGAGTTGCTCACCGAGGGTCCCAGCCTAGGCTCACCGGGCGGCCTCGTTCGGGGGACTGGTTTGGTGTGCGTGGGGGACGACTGGGTTGTGCCACACGATGAGGTTGGTCGGCTAGGCGTGGCCGCGTGTGCTGACGCTGAGTAGGCGATGTGTGCTCGCAGGGAGGGTCGCGGCGGGCGTGCTAGCAAGATGGAGAGGTTGTCCCTTCCGCGACGGCGAGGTGGTCCTGTGCTGCGTGGTGGCTCCGTCGCGCTGCGGGCGGCGGTTCCTGATATGGGTGGATTCAGGCTCCGCTCAGATTTGGCAGGTTGGTGGCGTCTAGGGCAGTGGGTTGCGCTTTCTGGGGTGGTGGTTGGGCGTGGCTGCCGGCAGACATGGAGTTCCTGAGCCTCTGGGGCTGCAGGACATCATTGTGGTGTTGACGGCTGCGGTGGTGGCTCGGTGTGGTGGTGTTGTCTCGTTCTTTCGATACACGGTTATGCGACTCCGTATGCGAGGTGCTGCGACGGTGGCGGAGTGACTCCACATGGACGGTGTGCCCCATTCCGGTGGGCTGGGATGTAGGTGTGCAACAATTTGGACAAAAGTCTTGCTCGTCTTTGGTCGGTGCCAGCAGTGACGGCGCCTGTGGGTGTCATGGCTCTTCTTGGAGGCGTCGTTGTGGTGTGTCGGCACCTTCCTCCCTCTCACTTGACTGGATGTCTCTGGACGACAGCCTATGTTCAGATCAGGATCGGCGATGGCGGTGTCCTCGATGTTGTTCCTCTGCTGGGAGCATTGCTTTGGGAAATATGGCTTGGAGGTCCTAGTTGGTGTTTCTTTGGTGCTCGCCGTGGTTCTAGATTGTTCGCCAAGGGCCCTATTGACGTCATCGTCGGTGAGTCCAAGATGATGACTTTCTCAGGTAGTCCGAGTCCCGCCAAACCACCCATCTACCAACTCTTTTAGGCAATCAAAGGATGCATGGTTGGTTCGTCGGCAAGGAGAGCTCTTTTGGAGCTATTGCTCTTTGGAGGTGATCGGCGTTGGTCGAGACGAGGTTTTGTTGGTCAGTGTAGGACAAGCCCTTTTGCATTGGAGTTTGTATTGTGGTGTTCATGTTGAAGTGGTGTTTGCTACTCACCGGCCTATGATGAGAGCTTACTTGAGTTCTTGTAATTTAGCCTCTTCCTTCTATAAAGTTAAGGCATGTAATTTACGTGCTCTAAAAAAACAATCTGATAATGTTTTCTCTATTATTTAAATATAAACTAGAAATTATCTATGTCTAATTTTGTCTATGTTATACTATATAGTACTCCTGATGATTGATGACACGAAAATAATGGCAGAAGTATGCCTAATATATAGGTATGTGTTATTTTCCATGATTCTATCATATATGCCTAATATATACATGGTTGACATCTGATCACATTCCAGATCACGGTGGTAACTGATTTTCCCTGCACCTACGTCGGCATTCTCTGATCATGCGGAAGATGGAAGTCACATCTCCTTGCATTCGTGACCTTGGCTTGACCAGGCGATCTTGCGGTCTCGCCTCCACTAGGTGCTCTTTTGGCCTCCGTCAACCACTCACGCATGTGTCGTTGATCGTATTTCCGTGGACAATTTTTTTTTTGGAAAATTTTATCCCCACGTTTTGCATTGTTTACTCTCTTTCCATTTGCAAAGATGGATGGTTTAACATGCATGGGCTCCAAAAAGTATGAGAGCACAATTTCTTTCTTCTAAAGGAATCCAACCGAACATGTAGTAATAAGCAATGCTAGAGAGGTTAGCATTCAAAAGGGTAAGCCTACCCTAGAGGAAGTAGAATTACCAATCCAGGATTCAACTCTTAGTATACTTAGACTCCAGAAAATCCCAGTCCATTCCTCTAAGACAGGAGAAACTAATTGGCACCCCCAAATACTTCATAGGAAAATGCTCAATTTGGCAGTTGAAGTATCAGCATATGTCTTAAGGATTTC